TCTTTTAATTATTTTTATTGTAATTTGATTTTAATTGTGTTATTATTTCTATAAATTAATTTTATCTGTTATTTATTGTGACTAATTAATTTCGATTCATTTTTTTTTTAATATAAGTTGACTTTATTCGATATAACTCTTCTTATAATGCATTGATTTTAACCGGGACATTGTTGAATATATGTTTTTTTTTAATCTTACAAAGCTTTTAAAGGCTTTTTCATCAACAGTTTACCAGCATTTGTTGCTTCTTTTCCATAACGCATGTGGTCTTCACCTATAACTGTAATAACATTAAGCTTAAGTATTTTATCATTACCTGCTAGATTGTTGTGTCAATGTTTATTATGTTGGTGATCAAATAAATAAATAAATAAGGGTAAATTAACAAATTAATGAAAATAATATACATATATAAATATTTATTTATTCATTTCATATACATTTATTATAACTAATCGACGAAATATTTTACATTAAACTTTTTACAATAGTCAATTTCAGATGTGCATAAATATATTATTAGGAATGTTGATAAATTATGTAATTATTATTATCAGACTATTATCATTTTTTTAAATATTAATTAAATCGTCATTGTCTGTATTATTAATTACAGTGACAAGTGGTTTATGGTAACTAAAATAAGACACATGGACGTTCGTAGATACGTGGTTCACGAATCTTGAAAATACCGCATCAATGGTTGTACCATACCTCGTTGTCCCCATTGCTCTATCAGAAACAATATCTAAATTCAGTTCAGATTTTAAAAATTTTATTAATGTCAATCCGTCATCTTTGTTTGTCAAAGTTGCGCGACATAGGATCAAAGACTTAAAGTTTTTGCATAGGATGCGCACCACAAACGTAACGAGGTCATTCATCGATAAATTTTACTCCTCATATTTTTCTCATACCGGGCCCCTTATATATGCAAATCGATTCTTAAGGAGTAAACTCCAAAAACATTATTTTCTCAAAAATCACGGTTTTTCGTGAATGTTAAAAAAAAACAAAATTCAATATCGTTTATTCAGTCTAGGCTGTTACAAGCACTTGTGCATTTATTTATTTATTAACATCAACAAGATTAACACCAACTCATTATAAAGTAACTTACAAACAATGTGGAAGCGAACTAAGTGCAATCTTAATTATAGATGTTACACAATAGCACTGATAAGCAAAAATATCGCATAACAAAATCACACTATTTAAAAAAATACACTAAAATTAAAAACATTTCATTAAAATTATATCATTATTCGGTAAAACGTCACAAAATATTGTAAATTAATGGAAATTGATGTTATAATAATCAAAATTAAACATAATAAACATTTAGGTCATTTACAGTCACCAGCAAATACCTACGTCAAATCTAGTATTTTTTTTAGTACATTATTTTGGAAATATTTAAGAGAATTAGAGAAAATATCGACATCAATTAACTGTGAGTCATGCTCATGAGCATGCTGTGGTAATCCACATTTGATTCTACTAGAATGATTTTGAGCAATGCTTCTGTGCAAGCCATTGTAAGCTATCATCAGCCTATTCAGCGGTGAGTAGCGACCATGGCGCGAGCGAGAGAGTCTCTCCATAAAGGGTGCATAAGTCGTAAGCGAAAGTTGATCTTAGATAATAGGTCAGGTGTGTCAAAGATGCCGTTCACTAGCTTGTACAGAAACATATGATCCAGCAAACGTCTGCGACACTCCAGTGACTGCAAATTGAAGTGGCGAAGCCTGTCGACATAATTAGGCAGTTTTTTCGCCATGTTGCATCCAAACGACAAATGCCATAAAAATCGCTTCTGGACACGTTCAATTCTTTTGACATAGATATCGTAATTGGGGTTCCATACTATACTAGAATATTCAAGGTTACTGCGAACTAAGGCCGTGTATATGGTGACTTTTGTTTTAGGGTTCGTGAATTGTCTACAGTTTCTTAACACAAAACCGAGAATCTTAAAACTTTTCTTTCAAATCATCGATGTGAATATGAAAGCGGAGTCTAGTATCCAAAGTAACTCCTAAGTCACGGACCTGGCTAACTTCCGAGAGTACGTTACCATTAATTCTGTAAGATCTGTTGAGTATTTGTTTCTTTCTTGTGAATCTGATCACAAAACACTTCTCCTCATTAAGATCCATGCCATTCCTCTTAGACCAAGTTACTAAGCTATCAATATCAAACTGCAACAGAGCAACATCTGAACTCACGTTAACGGGCCTGCAAAGTTTAAGATCGTCAGCATATAAATAGGACTTTGAAAAACGGAAACATGTCTGAATGTCGTTAATCATGATATTAAAGAATAGAGGGCCCAAATGTGATCCTTGAGGAACACCTGATAACATTGCATAGGAAGACGATGTGTATCCCTTGAGCACTATCGATGATCTACGGTTTTCCAGGTACGACCTGCACCATGCTAAAAGAGTTCCCGATACCCCAGCCGCTTCCAGCTTTGCGATGAGAGCAGCGTGATTTACTCTGTCGAAGGCCTTACTGAAGTCCGTATATATTGTGTCAATAGAGCCGCCTTGATCGAGAGACTCAGTAATAATGTCGAAAAGCTACGCCATCGGTTCGCAAATCTACGGCGGGAGACCTTGTACTGAGAAGAACCGGCAAGAAACTCAGCAAGGACTGCTTTTTTCTACTTGTTTTATTTCATACAGTGTCGTCCAATTGAAAGTTGACATCAAACTTGCAAACATGTGTTGAGGTCAACTTCCATCACATAATGTCAAATATGTAACAATAGACAATCAACGAATTTACTAACAATAAATGCAAAGATAAGTCCCAAAATAGCAAGAAACAATTTTCAAAACAAAATGAACAAGTATATGAAAGGGAGTAAGTGCAAGGTTCTCTTCAAAACTCTTTCTAAGGCTGGGAGCCTTAGTTTTAATATAACTTTTGAAAAATTATCTACAGGTAAAATTACAACCAGGCCGTTTTATCATTCAAATATTGATTGACAGTATAATATCCTTTCTTAAGTAAACAATTCTTAATGTGTATTTTAAATTTATGAGGAGGCAAATCAAGAATATCAATAGGAATCTTATTATAGAAATGTATACCCATAAATGATTTATGAACCTTCTGTAACCTGCAATTTGGTATCTTGAGTTTATTTTTATTCCTTGTATTAAAAGAATGTATGTCACTGTGTTTGAGATAATAGTTAATATTGCTTCGAACAAAAAGTATGCAATTATAAATGAATTGTGAAGCAACAGTCAAAATCCCGATTTCTTTAAATTTTTCTCTAAGAGATGTTCTAGAACTAAGTTGATAAATAACCCTTATAGCTCTTTTTTGCAAGATAAATATAGTTTCAATATCGGCTGCTGATCCCCAGAGAATAATACCATAGGATACAATACTATGAAAGTAACTAAAGTATACAGTTCTAGCAGTAGCTACATCAGTAAGTTGTCTTATTTTACGTATGGCATAGGCTGCTGAACTAAGTTTACCAGCTAGCAGAGAAATATGAGGATACCATTGCAATTTCGAATCTATGGTTATACCTAAGAATATCGTTGATTCAACTAAATCTAGGTTTTCATTGTTTAATTTAATTCTAATGGTTTCGCTTCTAACATTAGGTAAAGTGAATTGAATGCATTTGGTTTTATTTGCATTTAATTTTAAGTTATTTACATTAAACCAGTGCAATACTTGTGAGAGAGCATTATTTACATCGTCAAAGTTATTCTTGTATCGGTCAACCTTAAATAATAAAGAAGTATCATCAGCAAACAATACGATGTCACACAATTTTTCCACAAAAAATGGCAAATCGTTTATGTACAATAAAAATAGAAACGGACCTAAAATCGATCCCTGGGGAACGCCCATTTTCACATAAGATCCAGATGATTTAACACCATTTCGTAATCACCATTTTGTTATCAAGAAAAGGACAACAATAGAGTTCAGCCGTGCGGACTCGGACGCGGACTCGCCCTTTCGCTCGCGCTGTATAGAAGCTTACAGTTCGGTTTCGCTCGCTCGATTGAAAGTTTATTTACAGACGTGTGAGTGTGTGACAGTTGCTTATGTATTTGAGTCGGACCATATTTTATTTTTACTGCTATACTAGCATAGCGTACCGTATCTTCCCTTTTTTGTTTTAATCTAAGGCGTATACACTTCAAACTGCCGAAAACGGAAAAATATGATATGTTTAAAACTATAGCCTTTCTCAATAAATGCCACAAGTAGTTCCTGAGATTAGCGCGTTCTACCAAACAAACAAACTCTTCAGCTTTATTATATTATAAGTATAGATTCACATAACAAGAAGGGGTTTACTGCTAAGTTGCTCCTTATATTATTCCTGGAGGCGTGACTGGTGGAAGAAAATTTCAGTTTTTAAGTTCCACACACTCTCGTCCTCTTCGTTCATCTGAAAACCTTCTTTTGTCCATCCCCTCCCACTGTATATATATGTAGTTATGTAGGTATATTTATAAATGTTATGTATTATAATTACTAAATAAATTGATAAAACTACATGATACTTAATATAATATATTAAGTATCATGTAGTTTTATCGATTTAATATTTTTTTTTCTTTCACCTTTTGCTTTTATTTACTTTACCGCATAATGTCTCTGCTTAGCCCGATGGTTGACTGGTAGAGAATTGTTGTAAAATGACAATAAAGAGTAAATAAATAAATAAATAAATAAAATGTGATTCAGAATGACTTTATACAATCAGGTTTTTTTAAATGTTTATGCAGGCAAACGAACCGGCATGAGTTCACCAGCCACTGAGCTAAACCCATGGACAATATGATTGTTATCACCTCTTTGGTCTAACATAGAAGACTCAAGCGAATATCAGATCATAGATTAATAGGTTCAGTCCGTCATTGCTCTGTCAGTTGTCTGACACAACTCAAAGGCATTTTATTTGGGATTCTTGATTATCCCGTACAGTATAAAGTTACAAGCCAACAGCAATGCCGAAAAGCACCACGGAGGAGGCGACAAAGTCCAGCGACAAGATTAGGAGTAGAAGCAGGAGCAGTAGTACTAATGTTCCCCTACACTTCTCCGTCCACAAGCCGGGGTGCCACTTCGAGAGCTGCTGTGGAGTGTGCAACCTGTTTCCGGGCGTGCTCCTCATCGCTTTCTGCCAAGTCCTGGTGGGGTCTATCCTCTTGACCCTGATCTTGACGCACGGGAAGCAGTATGATGAGATGCATCAGACCACGTCTTCGCAGTGTAAGCTGAATGTTTGGTTTAACATCGTAATTGGTTAGAGCTGTATGATTAGTTTATTAGTTAGTATGTGGAGTTCGATAGCGTATTCGGTTTAAAGATCTTTCCCCACTTACACAACTCCGCAATATTGATCGTTTCAGGCTATGATTGAGGCGTTTGAGAAACAAATTACGTGTTTGATGTGTCTGAAGGAAATCTGGATTGACGCCGTGTTTTACAAACAAATTTGAACGTGTACTGCGTGGTTTATCAAACAAGATCACACTATTCATGTCCATGCCCTCGTCCGTCGTTGTCTTGGCATCATCTCAACGAGCCTCGCTTGACGAATTTGTTTGATCTGTGATTTCAGAGTTCGTGTAAGCTATTGTTTATGAACTTAAGAAATCCTGTAAACGATCAAGTTTGTCAATTTAATTTGATCGTTTATAGGACATATGTTTATGGTTTCCACAGTATGTTCCGCGATTTTTCTTAGTTTTCGAGTTATATATTCTTTTATGTATTTTTAACGATTTCTGCCGGCGAGGATTCAAAAATTCATATCTTTTTTCGTCGTATGTATTTTGCAGTCTTTTTTTTGTGACATAATTGTCTTGAATGTTGTTTTAATAAAAAAAAAATAACTCAGCTTCCTGAAATTACTTAAAGTGACTCAAAAAAGGCTTGAAAATTGGAACTTCAGCTTTTAGTAGGATTTACTCGAACATTTGAATGTTGCGTTGACGCAACAGTGAAAAAAGTACCAGAAGAAGAAGACAAAACTTTGTTACACCAGCGCTAACTTCACTTCATGCGTTGTAATGTGTTTACTTGCTGTATTTAAAGAGCGTGTTTGTCTATTAGATGGCCGCTTACTCATTTTCACTGCGGAGCTTTCGTAAAAAATGTAAAATCATTAAAAGTTAGGGTTGCGTGACTTGCACCAAACCAACGCAACGGGCAAAGTATGCTCCGCATCATGACGACAGCGATTTGTCTCTGTCCACCGCTGTGGAAAACTGGAGTAGGTAACCTGAACTTTTTGTTACATAAAATATCAAACGGATTAACGATAATACACAATGTACACTAACAAAGTCGTATCAGTCCCTTTTCGAAAATAAGACCATCGTCAGTTTAAAGGAGATTGCTCAGCTTCCATACATGTTTGGCCTAAAGACCAATAATCATGAAAAATTGTTTCCTAGATTCGAAATTATATATAAATTACTGTAGAAATGAATATTATTGACGGACACCCCTGAGAACTTCTATAAACCATATACACTGATCATATTAAAATAATAAAAAACAAATAAGTTATATAGTATACTAGGGAAATCAAGCCAAGTACAGATTAACAAATAGTTGCCTGCTTTAAAGTTAATGTATAAGAGTAACTTTTAAAATCAGGTGTCATTTCCGGTTATAACAAGATACTCTGTGACAGAAACTGTGTGATGATTGTGAATGAGCCACAGATTAGAGAGAATTTTGAAACTCTAGTTAACCAAAGAAAGCTAAGAGATTTAGGTTCTATAGCGGAATATTCAGTAGCTTCATTATTTTTGTTATGTTTTTAAGATAACCATATTTTAGATTTTTAGTGCATCACACCTTATAATTTTATTTATTTATTAATTTATAGTCACGGAACGTAGGCCCATAGATAGATACCTTAAAGTCTTACATATATACAGATTATAATGTGTTTATGGAGGTGTTTGGCGAAAAATGTATGGCAATAGATTTTATGATGTCGCCTACCATTTATAATAATTCAAATTCAAATTCAAATTCAAACTCATTTATTCAGTCTAGCTCTTGTGAAAGTCAAACGCTACGCCATCGGTTCGTAAATCTACGGCGGGAGACCTTGTACTGAGAAGAACCGGCAAGAAACTCAGCAAGGGCTATTTTTTTCTCCCTGTTTTGTTTCACACAGTGTCGTCAATTGAAAGATGACATCAAAAATTGAATACATGTGTTGATGTCAACTTCCATCACATTAATATTATTAATTAACAAAAGTTAAGTATAACTAGGTACTATTTTTAAATTTAGAAGTGGCGATTAAACAATTTTCAACCAAATTAGCAAAGTAAAACGACAGTCTATTTATTATGTTAAGCCCAAGGTGACTTATCATTTATGAAATCTTTTACAGTATAGTAACCTTTCTTAAGGAGACATGTTTTTATACACACTTTAAACTTATTAAAAGGTAAATTAATTATTTCTTTTGGTATTTTATTATAGTAACATACACCTTGACCCACAAATGAACCAAGAACCTTTTGGAGTCTCAATGGTGGCAATTTGAGTTTATCTTTATTTCTGGTATTAAAATTATGTACATCATCGCGCCTCGTATATAAATTTATGTTCTGACGCACAAACAATATACAATTGTAAATGTATTGAGAGGCAACAGTCATTATACCTATTTCTTTAAATTTATCCCTAAGAGAAGTTCGAGATCCCAATCGGTAAATAGCTCTTATAGCTCGTTTTTGAAGAATAAAAACTGTTTCAATGTCTGCGGCCGTGCCCCATAACAGAATGCCATACGACATAATGCTGTGAAAGTAGCTGAAGTATATTGTCCTAGCAGTGTCGACATCTGTAAGCCGTCTTATTTTATAAATTGCATAAGCAGCAGAACTTAGTTTACCGGCTAGTGTTGTAATGTGAGGGTTCCATTGAAGTTTGTGGTCTAATTGTCTGAGCACATTTGCATCTAGTGAAAATGATAATATAGTGGTGGGTATTAATACCACAGTGTAATAAAAAAAAATATTTATTTTATTGATCTTTACAAAATAGATTTGTTTTTATGTTATATAAACAACTTCGATCAGTCTTTGGCTGAATGTTACTACACCCATAGCCATTAAAAATGATTCGTATGTTTTCTAAACCGGTAATATTAAAAGTCCTTTTTAAAGTAAATATATTATACAAAGGTGTCCGTTGAAATCTAATGACTGTAAATTAAATTATAAATTACGCCAAGAATTACCGTGTATGTCAATATATTTTGTGCATTTAGGCCAATTTGAGCAATCTCCTTTAGATGGCGTTCCAGACTATGCCTGACGGCAGTTTGTGCTCAAATCGCAAACTATACGTAGGGACTCATTATATTTTGTTGAGCTACGTAATTCTATACCCTACATCATGCTATACTACACCAAATTGTATTGCGTATATATATGTGTGTGTCGGCAGCTACGCCTGCCACATTTGTATATTTTTACCTTAGTCGCAATAGAGCTCTTGAACCTTAAACGTGTTTTCTTATTTTCCAAATCCTTCTGAATACGGACATTATAGTAATACAATAAATATAAACAGTACACTTTAATACTAGTTTATTAGTAGAAAACACAAATAATATAATAAAACTAGCTGACTCGGCGAACTTCGTACCGCCCAAAAGTAATTTGCAATAAAATAATATTGTGACTATAAATTGAGGTGTAAGCTATCCTATCTATCGAGTTAGATCAAACTGCACGCGGTGTGCAAATTTGATTGAAATCGGTTAAGTAGTTTAGGAGTTCATCCCGGACAAACAACGTGAGGCGTAATTTATATATTATGACTAGCTGACTCGGCGAACGTCGTACCGCCCAAAAGTAATAATTTGCAATAAATTAAAATTGCGACTATAATTTGAGATTTAAACTATCCTATCTCTCAAGTTGGATCGAACTGCACATGGTGTGCGAATTTTATTATAATCGGTTCAGTGGTTTAGGAGTCCATTGAGGACAAACATTGTGACACGAGATTTATATATATTAAGATATTACAATCATATTAATATCTTGGCTGCCAGAGCACAGGCTATGGATGATTGGAATAATTCAATTAAATTTATTTACTTATTCATCATTTCCTTGTGAGGTAACAGAAATTCGTAAACGCAACACAAGTGACAAAAATATTGTCACAAACGCTCTTGAAACGGAACCGCGAAAGTGCTAGAGATCGAATTTGCCAGAGCCACAGAATAGGTATATACACTATACACTACGCGAAAAGAAGCGACACTTAAGCATGTGTGCTCGTAAAATCGCCCGCGGCTATGTGTGGGTGTCTAGAGGTGCGCGGGGGTGTTGCGCGGCGCGCGGGGCGTGGAGAGGGCAGTCGCTGACTGCCTCCACCGAAGGCATGGCAGTAGCGTAGACATGGGCGTTTTTGGTTTTGTACGCAAACGGATATTTATCGGATTTCAGATTTCAAAATCGATTTTAAAATCCGTTTTTAGATATCCGATTTCAGATGTGCCGAATTTAGCCAATTCACTAGTTTGTGTTATGATTTGGTTTTATTAGCTAACGACAATCTCAAACAATTAATTGTACGAAGCAAGGATACTCGTAGATTTGCGCGATTTTCCTTTATGCTTTAAATCTAGGTTTAGGCAAGAGTATATATTCTGTGGCTTAGGACTACCAGAAAAGTTATCTTTACGGTTAAGAGTAAAACTTTAGCGGCGCATTTAAAAATCGGCTTATATACAATGATTTCTTTTTACATATTTTTTTTTGTTTTTCTGTTTGTTTTTATTATTTTTCAAAACCATTTACAAAATCAAACCTAATTACTTCAGGTTAGCGTTCAAAAAATGTCAGTGGCTCGACTTTTGATGTTTTTAGACGACATCTTTTTCAGTAATAAATAATCCCGCCTTAGAGAAGAACAATAGATTTCCGTAAACAGCAAACCGAAATCGGACTTCCGAGCACGAAATCGGACTTCCGAAAACGAAAGCACGAATTTCGAATCCGATTTACATTTGGATACTTGTGGTGGTATTAGATCGCTAGCGTTTTGGTTCGGTTAGATTTCTGAAATCGGATTTTATTGTTGAGATATCGTTCGGTATCGATTTGTGTTTGAAATCGGATTTTGGATTCGTTTTGATATATCGGACGCATGCCTACAGTAGCGAAATAGTAAAATAATAGCGTTGCACTGCATTGCACGCACAGACTGACTACGCTACGCAATCTTATTATTTTGATAATAAGAGGAATTATAAAACGATAATCGAAAAAGGAGAAAATATTTAAAAGTTAGCAATTTGTTATAGTGCCTTCATTAAATGATTAAACATTGATTATAAAATCAAACCTGTCCTTCATTATTTACCCCAGTATCCTTGAATCAGTTTACATTTAATAACTTACTATGCATAAATATTCATTGGCACAAGTCTAAATTCCAAGTTCAACCCTAGCGCATACACGCTCCTGCTCAAGGTCACTGATGCTGGAACTCTCACGTACAGAGAGTGTCACCGCTGTGCCAGAGCACCGCGGGTTGCGATAAAAGTCGAGTAATGCGGCTCATTCTGAAATGAGCCTTATGCAGTGCGGCGTAAGGGAGAAAGTGCAACGACATCTGCACAAGTTATGCCCGTTACCTGCGTAGGTATAAGTAGGTACCTCGTACTCGCGGGTGCTAGCTAATTCTCAATTTAACAGGTACTTTCTAGAATGCGTCGATCGGCGTATATAAGCGCGATTGGCGCCGCGCAGAGAAAGCTGAGTTTCAACAGCGATTTCGGAGCGAATCCAAAGGCGATCAAAGTGCAACAAAAGTGTTCAAGTGCGATAGTTTAGAGACTTGTATAGTGAAATACAGTGTTTAGTGGGTGTTTTGTAATTAACATAGTGTGTTAATTGTGTGAACTGTGTGGTGAATAAAGAACTGTCAAGCGTGAACTGGCATATAATTTCGAACCCCACTCTGACACGTAACAATATAGAAAAAAAGAGCATGCCTAATTCATAATAATATAAACAACACAACATGAACAATCAATAAATAAATATACTTATATATAAAAAAATAATAAAAAAAGTGAAAAAAAATTGCCGACGAAAAAAAAATGAGACGATGTAAAACACTTTGACAGTTCCACTTGCATCGTGGTTTTATAAAACCCAAACCAATATTTTTTCTTTTTTCAGTGATGAGCATGGCTAGTGGTGCCATACTGAGTGGAATTACTGGTGCCGGAGTACTGCTGATCATAGTGGCATTAACTGAAAATTGTCGCGCAATGCTTGTAAGTATGACAATTGAAATACCAAAAAATATTATCATCATCATCAGCCTATTATCCTCGTTTTTCCATATAATTAAGCTTATCGTTCAAATTATGTATAACCTTAAATTGACGAAATTGAATTTCGTTTGAACTTCGTTTCGGAGAAAGAGAGTAGGTACCCCAGGGACGGGAAATACATGAATACGTCCCGTGAATATTTAATTTTCATCAAAACTGTACCGCCTTGTTCAAAATTGTGAAAGATGTTCAAAAAGACAAAAGATGTGTTTACTTTTTGATTTGTTATTGCTTTGGTGGCACGCAATTGTGTACTGTGCGCTACATCCGCCTTTTGTTTTGTAATCTAAGAGTTCAATGCCTATAATAAAATCATCATGAGCCTAATGTACCCCCACTGCTGGGGCACAGGCGTTCCCTATGGATGGAATAGGGAGATTGGGCCATGACCCGCCACGGGAGCCCAGTGCGGATTGGCGGGAGCTAACGACTGCAGATGCAGCCGGGACCAACGGCTTAACGTGCCTTCCGAAGCACGGAGGAACTCGAGATAGAAGATGTTTTGGTCACCCATCCAATGACCGACCACTGCGAAAGTTGCTTAACTTCAACGATCGCCGCCGAACGCTCTAACCACCTGCGCCATCGAGCTCCTATACATCATAGTACAACTCTTTTGAATCGTCCAAAATTTTTTTCCCCTACCACTCGAATTTTTAGCTGCGGAGGAAAACGATCGAAATAAACCACACAACATTAAAAGTATAATGTAACACCATTTACAAATCATTATGTTGTTACAACGTCAATACAAACATGATTTATTTCATATAGAAAATCTGTTGGAATGATTGGAACAGTTCAAACCCAAGCATTTTTGTCTGATATATAATCAATTTTGAATTTATTTATGGCATTCATATTTATTTATTTATTTTATTCTTCATGCACATACTGTACAATGGCGGACTTAATGCCGTAGGCATTCTCTACCAGTCAACCATAGGGTGTTGTGGAGACTTTAGTGGCAGGGTGCACAACTGAGGTGGAGATCACATTTAAAGAAATATTACTCATAATAAATATATAACAATAACATACATAAATAAGTAAATATATACAAATTATATAACTAAACATATACATACACATACATACATACTTCATATAATACATACATGACGACAAACTACTTAACGAAACTCTTGTTCCAATAAAAAGGTTCGCAGCTTGGTCTTAAAGGAATGTTTGTTGGGGGACATTCTAATGTCTATTTAATTTTACAGGTGTACCTATTAGTGGCTGCAATGGTCTGGATTGGCATAGTCTCCCTCGCCATAACCAAAATTAGTCGCGCTTGCATCCGATTCAAAGACGGTGAGTTTTCATTTAAGCAATTAAAAGACAAGTTGCAGTCCTAAGTTAGATGTACCCAAATTTTACTCAATAATCGCTCGCGCAGACGAGGGATTTTCTTCCGCGGCCTATTTCGTCCGCTAAAATTTACGAGATTACAACTGTATCGAGTAACACACGAGGCAAAAAAGAACCGTGTACAAAATGTTCCCCGAACAACCGAGGAAAGTAAGTGTCGCCGCACACGGGCCACAACCACAAAACGCCGCCACCGGCATATTTCCTGTAGTTTTCATACAATTTATATGGATGGACTCGCCGCGTACGGTTAACGCCAGTAGCCGCCACACGCTACGTGGCGAATCCATATAAAATGTATGAAAACTACAGGAAATATGCCAGTGACGGCGTTTTGTGGTTGTGACCCTAAGAGACTGGACTCGTCATAAGTACGGCGATGTCCCCGAAAATATAGAACAGAACATACCTTTTAACAAGGCGAAGTTTAGTCCGCGCTCGATTAATGAGATGGATGCATTCTTCTCTGTCAATATAAATTTAATTTTAATTCAATGCAGCGTCATCATCATCATCATCAGCCTATTAACGGTTGCTTTCCAATTACAGAGCATAATGCGACTCAGTGCCGCACAATGCCGAATTATGCTGATGCTTAATTGGAACGTGAATTAGTTTTCAAATGCACCAGCAGAGTGCGCTAAGTTCAGTGTTGAAAAAAAAATTCAATGTACCTTCATCCATGTTTATATTTAGTTTTTAACACAGTTTGAATTAACTTTAATTATTTAAAAAAAACTATGATGAAACGAAAGGTTTAATAATTTTTCAACAATAAATAAAATTACTAACGATAACATATAAATAAAACATTTCGTTCAATGCCAACTTAAAGAAAAAACACTTGTTAATTTTCTGTCTCTGAGTTGGTACGATTGCACGCATCACAAGAAAGCATTACTTTTGAGAGTGCTCAATTGTGCGAAGCGTTGCTGTAGTAGGAACACTCAACGTTAAGCATTATGCCGCATAATGCGCTATAATGCTGTAATTGGAAAGCTACCAACATCCCCACTGCTGGGGCACAGGCCTTCTCTATGGATGGATTTGGAGATTAGGCCATGACCCACCACGCGGGCCCAGTGCGCATTGGCGGGTGCTAACAACTGCAGATGCAGCCGGGATCAACGGCTTAACGTGCCTTCCCAAGCACGGAGGAACTCGAGATAGAAGATTTTTGATTACCTATACAATGACCAAACACTGAATAAGTTGCTTAACTTCAACGATCGTAGCCGGACGCGCTTACCACCCGCGCCATCGAGCTCCTCAATGCAACGTAATCTCAGAATATTTACTTCCATAACGTGCGTTTCTCAAAAATCTCGGACAACAAATTTCCGCACGCCGTGTGCGTTAAGTCTGTAGGTGGCAAATCCTCGGCGGATTTTTTTTCACAATTCAAGGACTTTTGTCCTACTCGGACAATGGTGTCGATTATGGCATGATTCTTTAAACCTAAACTTGAATTTGAGAAAAGTGTATCCTTGTCACTTTTTATACAGAAAAAAAAGGAGAGACTGATGTTAAATTTAGTTTTAAGTTTAAAGAATCATACCAGAATCGATACCAATGAATAGTTTCTCGTCTGCGCAGGCCGTAAGTGTAAGGGTACGGCCAGAGTGCACTCAGATTCAGATTCAGACTCAGAAAACAAGCGCGAGAAATATACAGTGTAGTTTAAGCGGTAGCCTGCTGCCACTATGGCCACCCTGCTTTAACTACACTGTTTATTTCTCGCGCTTGTTTTCTGAGTCGGAATCTGAATCTGAGTGCACTCTGGCCGTACCCTAACTTATGACTTTGTAATTTATGTAAGGGAAATAAATTCCATACGGCCTTGCCTTTGGTCTATTAATATCCCCACTTGGGCACAGGTGGTATGCGGAGTAAGGAGAAGGGACCAGATCACGACTGTTGAAGCAGCCAGGGATTAAATAGCTTTTACAAAAAAAAAATAACTATCATCCATATACGCGCCAAAAATCTGTTGTTTTTTTTTTCAGCTCCCAAAATAAAGGACGAGCAACATAGATTAGCGAACCTCGCGTGTGTAAGCGGGCTGTTCACCTTCCTTGGAGCAGGCAAGGCATAAATTCATACATCATTATCACAGCTTAATAATGGTGTCGATTCTGGCGTGATTCTCTAAACTTAAAACTAAATTTAACATCAATCTCTCCTTTTCATTCCGTATAGAGAATGACAAGGATACACTGTTGTCAAATTTAAGTTTAGGTTTAGAGAATCGTGTCAGAATTGACACCAATGTCTCCTCGCTGGGGAACAGGTCCTCCTTATAGATGGAAATAGGGAGATTGGGCCGTGACCCTCCACAGTGGTACAGTGTAGCTTGGTGGAAGCTAACGACTGCAGATGCAGCTGGGACCAAAGGCTTAACATGCCTTCCTAAACACGGAGGAGTTTGAGATAATAAGTTTCTGGTCACCCATCCAATGACCGACCATTGCGAAAGTTGCTTCACTTCCACGTACCCGCTCGCTCCCCAATTAATTCATACATAGTCAAACATTTTTCGTCCCCAAACTCGGTGACGCTGTAAAAGTCATCTGCGACCAACAGCTTAAACACTCAAAAAATAAAATAAAAATCGGTGGCTGTGGACTTGGTTTAAAGTTGACGGAGAGGAGAGTTTGGGCCATGACTCACCACGCGGGCCCAATGCAGATTGGTAGGAGGTACATAAATATTTTTAACGTTGTTCCAACAGAGATTTTCACGACAATCACGATTGCTTTAAAAAAATTGTACGCATATATAATTTATGACCTGGATTGAGAGAAATGAGATTCTTTTTATGATCAAGTGTAATGAGAATCCGTAACGATTTTAGTTGAGAATGTAGATTTATAGAGATAAGGATTCCATTAAATACAGTGGTTAAATTTAGGTTCTACGACAAATATTGACGAAGTTATGACCAAGTTACTAAACGAATTTTCGGCTTGCCGCGTGGTGGCTGTGACGTCACACGTTTCGGCCACCGGTGAATATTGGTTACATAAAATTAGTTATAAAATCGCAACGAATGTAACAACATATTTCAATGATTTAAAAAGTATTGTATTAAAAACCTTAATAGATCATTATACTGTTGATTTTGAGTTGATTTGCTGACCTAGTAATGATCCTCAATATTTGTTTTCAGCGTTATACTTCTTTTCGTTCGTGGTGGTATTTAGTTTCTACCACTTTAGGTACGTGCGTCGTGCCATCCTGCTTCACGAGGCGGAGTGCGAGTGAGAAAAGAACTACCATTTGAAAGTATTGAATTTATTAATATTTCTATGAATTTTTACGATTAAAAATCTACACCAGGTTTTGGAGATTTATTTAACTGTATTTGTAACTTCAGTTTTTCAAGTATTACGTAACCAGTGGCGGGGCTAGACCACATGTGGACGTCGGCGACATCAAGTTCGCGAGGCCTATTTTACTTCGCAGTAAAAAACCGTTAAATTAAGTGAGCTAAATTATAAAATAACGTATGAGTAAACGAGTTTTATTGTTGATAATCAAATGATGACAAAAAATAATTACAAACATAGAAAGGAGAATGCCCATGTTTGGTACAGCTTTGTCTCTCGCATCAAGATAAAAATAATATGATAATTATTTTCTTTAATTTATATGTACGTTGGTCTATCAGAATGGCTATTTTGAACAGGGAATAATTGTAGAAGAATAATTAGTCATAGTACTGTTTATATTTTGAGCCGGATATCTGACGTTATTTAATTTTTACTTTTTTTAAGATTGTCCCTTTTTATGGAAGGCAAAGAGAACAATGCCCCCTCAGGCGCGAGGCCGTCACTGTACGTAACTCACGCAAGCAGTGAATGGGTGTCCTATAATCAGTGTTGCCATCACAGATTTTAAATAATCGGGAGGCGTTACAGAAAAGCCGTAGATGTATTAAAAGAGCTGCAAGAAAAAACAGTAGATGCAGGGCGTATTTCTCCGGTGGTTTAAAAATTGGTAAAACAAATCAAAATATAGGCCAGTAACCAATGTGTTTCAGGCTGAAGTGGCAAAGGGCAGGCCACATCGCTCGAGGATCTGACAACCGTTGGGTAAGAAAGATCTTCGAATGGCGACCACCGGACGACGCAGCGTGGGGCGGCCCCCAACAAGGTGGACTGACGACATCGTCAAATGTGCTGGGAGCCGCTGGATACGGATAGCGAAGGACCGCGCATGTGGCGTTCTCTGGGGGAGGCCTATGTCCAGCAGTGCACGGAGAAAGGCTGATGGAGGCCACATCGCTCGAGGATCTGACAACCGTTGGGTAAGAAAGGTCTTCGAATGGCGACCACCGGACGACGCAGCGTGGGGCGGCCCCCAACAAGGTGGACTGACGACATCGTCAAATGTGCTGGGAGCCGCTGGATACGGATAGCGAAGGACCGCGCATGTGGCGTTCTATTTGGGAGGCCTATGTCCAGCAGTGCACGGAGAAAGGCTGATGGATGGATGATGAACCAATGTGTTTCTATGGCTTCTGTCGCCCCTCAAAGCTTGTTTTTCTTGTCACAATAACATATCTATGGTATTATTATATTTAAGGTGACCTTCATTCTTAATGGCGATAAACGCATCTTAACACGCAAATTAAAAAAGAAAATCGTATAGGTACTAAGAAAAATATTAGGTTAATTTAGAGAAACAGAAGTACAGGAGACATTTCAGAAAAACAGGGGATCTCCTGTAAAATCGGGAGACATGATAAACCTGCCTTTAATAGGGTATTTGACAGTGTTAAATTAGGGGCCAATTGTTAGCATACAGATGCTAACAATTGGCCCCTAATTTAACACACACACACACACAAAATGACGTCACACACACGTGTGACGTCATTTTAGGCTCCGCCAATCCCAAGCGTTTGGGGTCACGTGACAATAGATAAGAAAACTATTATCTTTTTCGTTAGTTTTGTGTATATAATGAATATATACCTGTGTATATAATGAATATTGGGGTTTTTACTATTTTACAGAAAAAAATATTCATAATTTTACTAAAAACTAACGAAAAAGATAATAGTTTTCTTATCTATTGTCACGTGACCCCAAACGCTTGGGATTGGCGGAGCCTAAAATGACGTCACACGCAAGGAAACTTCTGGTTAAAGTGACATTACATTGTATCGTTTGACGTTTAAATAACAGTCGTGTGACGTCACACACTAGTAAGACTCCATATTGTCCAGAGAAAGTTTTCGCGGCAACTTGAAAATGGAGTTTTTGATTTGGTTATTTTGACTGAAATAAACAACAGAATGATGAATATCACTTTTTTTTTATTGCCATAAACTTTAGACAATAACGTGAGATCGTTTTCTAAAACTTGTCAAATACCCTATTTACTATCTCAAGCTCTGTCGTTTTGAAGGTACATTGGTGGTATTTCCTTGTTGAATCTGCAGTCGCAGTAACACCCACTAATCCGCACGTGGTTGGATAACAAGTTTTTTTTTAAATAGTAGTCCCTCCATCTTTTTTGAAGTGATAACTTATTATTGGAGTCTAAACCACTTCGTTACGTAACTTCGTTCGAGAGGTCCCGGGTTCGAATCCCGGTGGGGGCAGACGTTTGTGTGATGAATGCGAGCATTTGTACTCCAGACATGGATGTTTAATATGTATTTCTATATAAATATACTTATAAATGTGTATGTATTCTATCCGTTACCCTAGTATTCTATAACACACGCCTATAGTGCTTACTTTGGGGCTAGTAGTTTCGTCTGTAAATTATTATTTAATACATATATATGAATGGCACTTGGCGCAATATATAGTTTTCTTCCTGCTAGTCCAGCAGTCCAGGATAGGAGACAGAAGAAGTAACCCGTTACGGCACCAGTCTGTCTGGCTTCCCTTTGCCACGAAGGAGATAGACGCTACAGCCCGTGAGCTACCAAAGGGGTGTCCCCAGATCCACTCCACTCCCTCACCCATCAATCCCTACTATAACCCAGCAATCCCCTATTATCGCCCATCAGTCCCCACTATCACCCACCAATCCCTTATTATCACCCACTAATCCCCATTAAAACCCTCGAATCCTCTTTATCACCCTCGAATCCCCTTTTCACCCTTGAATCCTTTTTTAACCTCGAAGGATAGTTTAAGTTATCACTTCTGTCGTGCGTCCCGAGACGGACATGATTATTTTTTTATTTTCTTAACCAGTTTAAATCTAAAAAAAAAATACTGAGGGCCGACTTTTCAAAACTCGGATAAGAGTTAACTGTTCAATAAATTAATACTCAGTTGAATTGAGAGGGATGTCATCCGTCACATTACACCAATGAACACAAGTTAACTCTTTATTTTGTCCGTATAATACGATATCAGACAGATAAATTTTATCCAGTGTTCAAGAAATCAGCCCATAATACAACAAATTTTACGTGGTCTATGCAGCAGACAGGACTCCCCCTGAAGTTATACAATATTCGATAATATTCGACGACCTCCGTGGCCGAGTGGTTTGTACGCCGGGTTTCATGGTGTCGCCGACTCGAGAGGTCCCGGGTTCAAATCCCGGTGGGGGCAGAGATGCTTGTGTGATGAATACGAGCATTTGTACTCCAGTCATGGATGTTTAATATGGATTTCTATATAAATATATTTATGTATGTACTGTATATGTATTCTATCCGTTACCCTAGCATCCCATAACACAAGCTTTACAGTGCTTACTTTGGGGCTAGGCTAATTGGTGTGAGTGTTGGAAATATTTATTATTTATTTATTTAATATCGAATTAATGATTGCCATAAGACTTTAGAAATATTAGAAGGTTGATGAATAAAACAGAACGTAATACGGGACGAAGGGTCATACGTATCCTTTGCGGTCAAAAAAGCGGCGCGCAAAATATACAAAATTTATATCTCGAGAGCATTTCCAGCGTCCTCAAGAGTTTTGGGGGGAATAATAGTGGCGTTTGTCAAATGGCAGGAAATAAGGGCTGCGGCACGCGTGGTCCGCGCGCACAATTCTTTATCATCGGACCACTTGTGATTTATGCGACTAGTTGGTTATAACGCGGTACGCAAATTGAAGAGACTAGTAATAGAATGCTAAGAATATATATTTGAGGACCTGGATGGCGCAAGTGGTTAGCTGCGATCGTTGAATTTAAGCAACTTTCGCAGTGGTCGGTCATTGCATGGGTGACCAAAAACCTTCTATCTCGATTTCCTCTGTGCTTCGAAAGGCACGTTAAGCCGTTGGTCCCGGCTGCGTCTGTCGTCGTTAGCACCCGCCAATCCGCATTGGGCCCGCGTGGTGGGTCACGGCACTATCTCCGTATTCCATCCATTGGGAAGGCCTGTGCCCCAGCAGTGGGGACATTAATGATGATGATATATTTTTTATGAAACAAGTTTCAACAGGTTAGATGCACTGATTTTATTTATTTAATGACGTTTCGCATCCCTTGTAGGAATGCGTCGTCGGAATAATGTTTTTGTTTTATTCCTGCAAAGGATGCGAAACGTCAATAAATAAATAAAACCAGTGTATCTAACCCATTGAAACTTGTTTTATTTATATTTATTATAACTTAGGAGAGAAGAAAACACACAGTGGATAAGCTACAAGATATATAATATAATATACGAGAGTTATAAAATAAACACACAAACCATATGAGACGAGTAAGTAATAGAGAGGAGTGGTGTCAAACAGACAGACAGACTGACGTATAAAAATATAAATTTAAAAACACGTGAAAAAGGTGCCAGGATGTTTGTATTAAAAAGTTATTAAAAAAGGTTTGGCCGAATAATATATGTGCGTGAAAACCTAAAAAACAAACATATTTTTTTATGTTAAAAGGGTGGCAAACAGGTTAGTATATGATAGTGTATGACCCGCCTGATGATAAGCGGCCACCAAAGCCTTTGCGATACCAAATATGTATCACTCGGCCCGTTGCCTATTCTGACCAAATCCCCTACTCCGTGGCGCCCTGGGACCTCACCACCTACAGAAACACAACATCATTGGCCATACTTACCTGTAAAATACTTTCTGTTATTTGTTGACGTAGACGCTGTTGGTTTTCTTAATAAAATTAAATAAAGTAATAAAATAAAAAATGTAAAAAGGGTGTCAAAGAATAATTAAAATAAAACTTAGTTTTTACGGGTTAATGCACGAATATTTTTATTTAATTATTGACGTTTCGCAGCCTTTTCAGGTCTGCTTCGTCAGAATGATTTTTTA